ACATTGTAGAAGAAGCAGCGCCTGACAAAGCAGGAAGACAAGAGAGGTGACAGGTATGGCCGGCCAAACAGGAAAGCACACATGCTGTGAGACTTGTGTATGGGGCATGATGTTGTCATGTGTGAATATTTGAAGCAAAGATTAATAATTTTTGTGCAATAATTGAAACAGATTACTTCTGTGGTAGTTTTATCTGTGTTTTTACTGTGTAGTTCACAAGCAATTTATTTGTTTTTTTATATCTTTTCTTTTTTTTTGAAACATGGTCTTGCTATGTAGCCTAGAAATCGGGGCAGTTCTCCTGCCTCAGTCTCTCTGGGATTATGGGCATGCGCCATCACGTCCTGCATTTTTTAGATCTTGTAAGCAGCTGAAACAGTTGATGTTAAAAATGTCTAAACACTCAATACCTATTAAAAAGTATTTTATTTTACTGATATTTTATTTTCCTGTTAAGTACACATAAAATTATCTCAACAGAAATACTCCTAGAACATTAATGTGGGCTTTACACAGCCCCATAATGCACCTTCCAAAAAATTCACCATGATTGCCCATTAAGGCGGGTCTTGGTGAAGGCAGTCAGCTCAGAAGGGATTCACGAAGGTCATGTGGGGCTGGACCCGTGCTGGGAGAACAGTGCTCACAGCAGCCTGGCACCTCCCAAGCCTCTCTTGCACACGCACCCGCATGCCAGCACCAAGCTGTGATGTAGCCAAGACTTGGGGTCACCCAGGCTTGGGCTTACTGACTCCAACACTGAGCTAATCAACATTTTTAGAAAAACATTAAGCGGCAAGATATATCATGTATAAGGACAAATGCGCTATAATTAATGTTATGTTTATCTAAAATGTACCAGTAAAAAATAAAACTAAAAACTAAAAAACATTACCCAGGGCCTAGCCAGGCACAGTGGCACACACTCACAATACCCACATTCAAGAGGCTGACACGGGGGCACTGCAAGTTCAAGACCAGCTTAGGCTACACATCAAAAAGAAAAACAAAAACCAAGACCTCACTATGGAGACCTTGACAGGTACTGAAGGAATTGCATGTACACTAGCTTAAAATTTACTGGTTTCAAGAAGAGAGAACCCGGGGCTGGGGATTTAGCTCAGCGGCAAAAGCGCCTGCCTGGCAAGCGCAAGGTCGTGAGTTCGGTTACCGGTACCGGAGAAAAACAACAACAACAACAAAAAAATAGAGAACCCAAAGCAACCTTCCCATTTCTTGCTAAGGTGCCAGAGCAGCTAGGATGCGTGACCGCCAAGTGACCGAAGACAGGACCCAGGGGACAGCTCTTCTTGCTCAAGCTTCTGCCCCTCACGGCAACAGCCCAGTACAGGACTGATTCCAGGTCTCCATGAGTGACCTGCTCCTGCTCATCAAAAAAGGGCTGGCACCTCCTGAGCCTTTCACAACAGACGAGCACTGGGAGTGGTGACACCTGTGACCCCAGCACTGAGGATGAGGCAGATCAGCACTGCGAATTTAAGGCCAGCCTGAACTAGTGAGACCTTGTCTCAAAAAAAAAAAAAAAAAAGCCAAAATACAGAAATGTACAGGAAGAGACCAAACCCAACTGGAAAAGGTGGGCGGGGGCGGGGAGCTAAGGAACACAAGGCTGGAGCCTGCTGGGGTCCTGCCCCTCATTACCCCAGACAGGCCATGACACGTGTGTACAATGCTCCCAAAATGTATGCTTCTCTGTGCTCGCTTTGGCAGCACGTATACCAATATGCAGCCTTCTCACATTGCAGGACACAGGGAAGTGGAGCTGGATTTTATAGCAAATAAAAGGCTGGCATTTCTATCCGTGTATATGGGTCCAACACAGCTTTCAGATTCCTTCGGAAGGGTTTACAGCTGCATTAAGACGTTTTAAAGGCCATGCCACCGGGGGAGGCTCTGTGACGGGAGTACTCCCATCACAGCCCTGCTTTGAGCATTCCAGGTGTCTGCTGCCACCTGTGTGCCGTTTCTTGGATACAAGTGGGTTTCTTGGAGTTGGGGCCACCAGGGCTGGGAGTGTTGCTACCATTGTCCTCCATCTAGTAAATGGAGGGGAGACCTCTTACTCACTTTACAAATTTCAGAAACTAAATTTCCACTTAATGCTATGCTTAATTGGGAAAAGGAGGTGGTTACTTAACCTCTACCTGGAGTTTTGGAGCTTCCCCTGCTTTGGATACCACAGCACAGAGGGTTTTCTAAGGCTCTTGTGCCCCTCACCCCACCGAGGGGGCCAAGTCCTGTAAGCCTAGAACACAGGAAACTGGCCAAAGCCTCCTCCTCCTCCTCCCTCTACTGAAGTCCTCATTCAGTAGTATGAGATGATTTCCTATCAGCACCAGGCACAGGGTTGGGGGGCGGTGAGGAGAAAACAGTAAAGCACATTTGCACAGCCGATTTCAAATGCAGCGAGACCAACAGCTGCTGTTCAGTTTTTATTGAACGTGTTACAAAATGAGGTTTAGTCAAAAAGACCAAAGCCCATGTCGTCGTCAGATTCCTCAGATTCTTCTTTCTTTGCTTCCACCTTCTTCTCCTCAGCTGGGGCGGCAGCGGTGGAGGGGGCAGGGCCTCCTGCAGGTGCAGCACCAGCTGCCGGAGCAGGGCCACCAGCCCCTACATTGCAGATGAGGCTCCCAATGTTGACATTGGCCAGGGCCTGCAACGCACGCGTGCACAGGTAAAGACTCAGTCTGTCCCATTACATACCACTCATCCAGCCAAAAAACAACCCCCTCCACTCACACCGACGAACTAGCTTACATTCCTGCCCTCCAACTATGCTGAAATACCACGACCATTCAGTCAGCTAGAACATCAACTTCTCAATTTAACTTCTCATCCTCCAGAGTGACTTTCCCCTGCTGACAGCAACACTTGGACAGAGCAGTGAACATCCTGTTACAGTCACCAAAAATCTATTCAGCTTTAAATCGTATCTAGGACTCACATGGTTGTACAGAAAGAGCAAGGTTCAACTAATTGAATCCCTTCCTCTTCCATCCCCAGGCCCTGTTGAATCTGTATGTGTGTGCTTTTTTGTGTGGTACTGGGGATTGAACTCGGGGTCTTTGGCCCTGAGCTGCATTCCCTGATTTTTAAAATTTTGAAACATGGTCTTATACTAAGTTGCCAGGGCCAGATTTGAACTTGTGATCTTCCTGTCTCAACCTTTCTGGGATTACAATCATGTGCTACCCCAGCTGGCTTTAAAATTTCCAGATGTTAGCAGGGCACAGTGGCACATGCCTGAAATCCCAGCACTCAGATGGGGCTGAGGCAGGAGGGAGGGCTGCCTTGAGTTCAAGACCAGTCTGAACTATAGAGACCCTGTCTCCAAAAAATATATATACGTATAAGAAAATTTCAGACTACTAAGCAATCTAGGACTTCTCAAAGGTAATCCAACAACAAATGTGGAAGAGTCCATCTTTCCAAATTCGAGGCAGACATGACTGGGTTAGATGACATTATTAGCTTTTTGGTGGAGATCAAGTGACCTGTACCAGGGAAGGTGGGTAACCAGTGCAAACTCCATGGCCAGGAAGGTACCCCTCCTTTTTTAACATTCATCTTTTACATCCCAATATACAGTCAACAGCCAATAAAAGGCCATCAAACTCAATTTCCATGAAACGACACGGACTACCATACTGGATTATTTTTTTTGGAATACTATCAGTAATGCTACTTCTTAAGTAACTTTTTTGAGCAGGAATACTCTGGTAAGAATTTTTTATTCTTGTTTCGGAATGGAAGGTGCGAGCATGGTGCACTGCCTGTAATCCCAGCACTGAGGATAAGGCAGGAGGATCATCACGTGTTCGAGGCCAGCCTGAGCTACACAGTGCGTTTAAGAACACCCTCAACTACAAAGTGAGGTCCTGTCTGAAAAAAACGGAAACAAAAGAAAGTAACACACGGGATGGAAAACCAAAATCTGAGAATCAAGAATCCACCTAAGACACAAACTGAAACCTCATTAACACCTAGAGATAAACGCCACGAAACACGGAGGAGGTACAGTAGACACACACATCAGACCCAGTAGATCAGTAGACTTCCCAAACCACCTCCCCACGGTCACCTTACCTTCGCGAACAGGCCAGGCCAAAAAGGTTCCACATTGACACCAGCTGCTTTAATGAGGGCATTGATCTTATCCTCCTGCAACACACAAAACGCCAACCCATCAGAGCGCTGTACCAGCCGCAGCTTTAACATGGCCAAAGTAAGCGCAAGCGAAAATCAAGTCGCCCAAAACGTTTAAGTTCACCCAGACTATCTGCATTTCAAGACTTCTTCTCGATCTTTGCTTACAATTCGTACGGTTACTACGATCAAAATATCTGCACTGGATGCCTCCCACGCGGCAGGGCCCTGAGCCACGCGGCTATTCTAAGTTAAGAGACCTGGCGCGGGGACGGGGGCCGAACCGGCGCATTAGTTACAGGGCGCAGCCTGGCACCACCTGGTACCGAGGCCGAAAGAGGCCAAAAAGTCACACCAATGTACAAGGAAAGCGTGCGCGACAGTCAGACAGCTGCGGTCCGGGACGCACAAGCCCCGCCGGCCCCACGTGTCCCGCCGGGGACCAGGGCCCGGGCCGGGCCGGAAGCGCCGGGCCCGCCCGCCCGCAAGCCGGAAGCTGGCCGCCCCGCGCCAGACCCAGTCCGCACTCACCGTGACGGTCACCTCGTCGTCGTGCAGGATGAGAGCGGAGTAGATGCAAGCGAGCTCAGAGACGGAGGCCATGATGCGGGCTGCCGGGCGCGGTGCTAGTCGCCGGATGAAGTGAGCGCCTCACCCCAACGCGGCCTTAGCTCCCTCGGAAGAACCGAGCACCTTGGCGGCAGCTGAGGAAAGGGCGTCCTGCGCTTGCGCGCAAGCTCTTATACGGCCATACGGACCAATTGGCGGCCACGCCGGGCGGAAGAGGCGGGACAAGGAACTTCCGGTACCGCGTGCGCACAACTCTGGTTTGGCTCTAAGAGTCGTTTCCTAGTTCCTGCAGGAGCGTTGTAGGTTCCCTAGATTAGGTTGAGAAGTGCAAGTCGGGGATGCTAAACATTCTTCTTAGGGGGGGCTACCTAAGAAAATCCCTATTGATTCCCTATGGTTTCAGTACGCCGCTTTAGTTAGTAGGAGCTCTCGTGCAGGCCTGTGACGCTATTTGGACAGTCACCTAATTACTAATCACGTTCCCTAGCCGACGGTGACCTGCAAGGCAGGAACCGGCTGACATGTGGGAGACTCTGCTTAAGCCGGTGTCTCCGAAGTAGGTAAGTACAGGGTGTAAATTCACGCTAACAGTATTAGAGGCAACGCGGAACTGTGAAATATGGTTTGTCACGACTAAACAGGATACAGTGGTGCATCGGAAGGGGATGCGTTATATTATATTACAAAGGAAATCTATAGAGTTTTTGTGGTCAGCAAACCACTAATACAATTCAACCATCCACATAGATTTTTGGGAAACTGTAATACCTTTCCTCTCCCAATAATAGGTATCAACGAAAATCTAAAGCAGTTCACAGTTAACCGTGGAACTTCTGAAGCATTCTTTTTACAATCAGGAACAAGCCAGGCATGGTAGTGCATCCCTGTAATCCCAGCATTCTGAAAAGGCAGGAGGATCACAATTCCCAGCCTGCCTGGGCAATTCAGCAACTTAGCAAGACCCTGTCTCAAAAGCTTAAAAATAAATTAAAAAGGGGCTGGGGATTTAGCTCAGCGGCAAAGCGCCTGCCTGGCAAGCGCAAGGTCGTGAGTTCGGTTCCCAGTACCGGAGAAAAACCAAAAAAAATAAAATAAAATAAAATAGAAAGGACTATGGGTGTAGTTCAAGGCCCTGGATGCAATCACTAGTACTACAAACTATAAAATCAGGAACAAACTATGGCTTCTTTCACTGCTTCTATATTAATTTCCATTTTAAGAGTTTAGCTATCTCTATAAGACAAAATGTACAAAAATCAAAAATATAAGTTCATTATTCATAGATAATATTGTTTACCCAAAAGTTCCATAGACAGAGAGCTCATTAGTTCAGCAGAGTTGCTAGATCCAAGATTGATACATAAACCCAGCAGCATTTCTGTACCTAATTATAAAATGTAATATTAAAAAAATACATCTCAGCTTGGAATGTACTTTAGTGGTAGAACACTTGCTCAGTAGGTGCAAGGCCCCAGATTCTATGTGTGGGGGGCTTAAAGAGCTGTACATGATGTTTTTCTGTGGGGGAGCCAGTTCTAGGGGTTTGAAACCAGGGCCTAACACGTTAGGCAAGCACTCTACTACCAGGTTATACCCCACCCATGACCATTATTTTTACATGTATAAAACTATGATTCACCAGGTATGGTGCTGCATGCCTGCATTCAAGAGGCTGAGGCAGGAGGGTTGCTGCCAGTTCAAAACCAGCCTGACCTGTTTAGCGAAACCCTACCTCAAAAGGACAAAAAGAAAAATCATGAACAACATCAGAGGCAACCTAGAGTGATAGTCTAGATGAGAAGACCCTAAATTATGTAACTTCAATCAAAATTCCAGTAGTGTTGAATAGCATTTGGCAGACTGACCTTAAACTTTAAATGGAATGCTTAAAGGCTGGTAATAACCAAGGGAATTTTTTTAAAGTAAAAAGGGAAGATTTACATGCGCAGAAGTTCCACTCAGGGCACACAGTTTGATTTACCACTGCATTCTGTATGCCCCAAACAGTGCGAAGCACATGGAAGGCATAATACATAAATAATACATAAGTAATAACACATCCAGTGTCTGCTACCGGGTGGATGAGTTTTTTAAAGTGTGTCATTGGCGTGCAGTTAGATACATGGACCAACAGAATCAACAACTCTCATACATAGGAAAACAGGCAGTGTCCGAAGCATAGCTTCTCAGACCAGAGGCAAGTTCCTTTGAAAAGACTACCAAATGACCTGGAGGTGTGGCCCAGAAGTAGAGTGTGTGCTTAATATGCCTGAGGCCCTGGGTTCTGTCCCCAGCAACACACACATACACAAGAAACAACCAAAGTGGAAAGTCATGGATTGGGAGATCTGACGCTTAAAATATCCAAAAGATCATCAAGCACCGTATTGACGTGAAGTCTCAAAATGGAATGATAAAACAAGTTTAAAATGAGTCCATGGCACACTCCTGTAATCCCAGCACTTGGGAGGTTGAGGCAGGAAGATTATTGCAAGTTCGAGACCAGCCTGGGCTACAAAGTGAGCTCAAGGCCAGCCTGAACTGCATAGTGAGACCCTGTCTCAAAAAAAAAAAAAAAACAAGAGAATAAAATAAAAAAGAATGCAGTCTGGCTGCACCCGTGTGACTTTTTTCTAGGAGAGCTTTGCCTGGGTTGTACAAAGCAAATCAGATATTTAAAAGCTGGAAATGAAAACACTGAGTTGTCAACTAAAATTTACCACCTAGAGCTAGAAAATTCTGAGTGCAGCTACTGTACAAAGATGGCCAGTTAGCAAGGTAAAGTAGTCGAAAGCTTGGATGTCACACTGGCCTTAACATAAGCAGACTTTGGGGTTGCAGAGGAAATCATCTTTTTTTTTTTTTTTTTTTTTTTGGTTTTTCTCTGGTACCAGGAATCGAACTCACGACCTTGTGCTTGCGAGGCAGGCACTTTGCCGCTGAGCTAAATCCCCAGCCCCGAGGAAATCATCTTTCATCACTCGTAAATTATAAATGGCTTTAACTGGTATCAGAGAATGATCACCCCCATCAATCACTGCTCTTCTTCAAAACTATTTAAGACAACTATTTAAGCAGTATCAATTGCTCATATATTTTCCTTTGCGTTGTCCAGGATCTAGAGGATTCTACATACATTTTATTTCAAATCCCATTACCCCACATTCTCTCTTAGGAAAAACTTCCTGAAATATGTCTTCAAGGTAGACATGGTGGCACACACCTGTCAGTAATCCCAGCACTCTGGGAGGCTGAGGCAGGAGGCTTGCAAAGTGGAACCCAGCCTAGGCAGCTTAGCAAGTTGGCAAGATCTGATCTCAAATTTAAAAAGGGCTTGGTGTGATGCCCCTGGGTTCAATTTCAGTATACCATTTAGAAAATGAAGAATTGGAAAGATTGATTCCTTCATAAGTACTGCAACAAAACTTAGCCATTAAGGATCTGAAGCATGTGCCCAAAAATCACACATTTTTTTTGGTTTTTGTTTTGGTACTGAGAATTCATCCCTGGGTCTTCTTAAGCTAGATCCCAGGCTTTTTTGAAAGACAGGGTCTCACAGTCCAAGAGTTGCCCAGCCTGGGCTCAAATTTATGATCCTCCTGCCTCAGCTTCCCAGGACATTTCTACTATTCTGAGTGGCAAGGGATTTTCCTTAACCTTGAATCTACTTTTGGCCAGAACTTCCCATCTTCATTATTAATAAAAAATAGATTATCATTTTAGTTACAAAAAACTTGAGCCTGAAAAGAAATCCAAACTAGAGTGTGGTGGTACGTGCCTATAATCCCAGCACCTGGGGAGGCTGAGGCAGGATTGCAAAAGTTTGAGGAAATCCTGAGCTATATGTATTACTTATTTTTTGTAGGGGAATCGAACTCAGGACCTTGTGCCTATAAGGCAGGTGCTTTGCCACTGAGCTGCATCCCCAGCCCCTGAGGTATATGTAAAACCCAATCTCAAACCTTTTTTTTGGCCTTTTTGAGACAGGGTCTTGCTATGCAGTTCAGGCTGGCCTTCAGCTCACTTTGTAACCCAGGCTGGTCTCAAACTCACAACGATCTTCCTGCCTCAGCCTCCCGAGTGCTGGGATTACAGGTGTGTGCCACCACGCCCGGCCGTCAAACCTTTAAATCTTTTTTTTTTTAATCAGAAGAAAAATGTGTATTCACCCAAGCAACAATGGATATTCCACCATGAACTGCAGTATTACTTTTTCTAGTTTATGTTGTGCTCAGATGGGCTAGGGATATAGCTCAGTGGCATAAGCACTTGCCTGGCAAGCCTGAAGTCATAAGTTCAATTCCCGGTACCAGGAAAAAAAAAAAAAAAAAGTCCTCAGACCATGTTTCTTTAGTGTCTCGAACACACTTGATGTGTAGATATTAGTTACCACACAGAAGAGGCACTGTCCACCCACATTCAAGTTTCTCTTTTCCAGTGCTTTCTGTTCATTCATCCCATAGCTGCAAAGAGCCAGGTAAAGGCCAGGCCTTGTACTGGACGGCGGGAGAATGTGCAGGACCAACGATCACACAACTCCGCTTTCTAACAGTGCTTTTTATTTCAGTTCTTTTGGTGAGTATCACAAAGAATATATGCACAAAATTCTCAACAACTTCCTAGAAGGGTTTGCTCCTTGGCCTGATCCTGACATCCTTCTCTTGCAAGTCTGAATTGTCCGATATGTCTAAAGTGCATCCTTGCAGCTAATCAATAGCAGCATTTGAGAAATATTCAGACAAGAGCAGGAAAAGACAATAAAAAGTGAGGTGTGTTCTAGATATAATATATTCTTCCTTAATTACCAAGAGAAACACCTGCTTAAAATACCGGAGTTGTAAGTGTACAAAAATATACAAAAGAGCATTACAAAAATAGTTCATATACATACATATATATATAAAAAGAGGAAGAATTCCTCGCTATTAATATTAAATATGGCAAGGTCTCTAAAACACAAGGCCTCTGGATCCTAGATTTGGAACCACGGAAGCTTGCTCTAGGCCAGTGTAGGATGTTCCTGAGGACCGTGATGTTGCATAAGATGACCCAGGAGACAACACTGGCACTGGAGAGATCAACCCAAATGACAACTTTCTTTTGCCGCTGGGACCGTAAGTTCATGGTTTCTTGCGCCTGAAACAGAAAAACCAGCGTTTAGCAATGAGTTTAACCACAAGTGACACATTCATCACGAACCAGGAGAGACTGGAAAAATTGCTGTTTTCTTGGGAAGCTGAAGTAGGAGGGTCGTAAGTTCAGGGCTAGCCTGGGTTGCACGGCCCCTGTCTCAAAAACCAGAAAGACAAGGAGAATGTAAATTGTTCCAGAAAACGACTTCCCATCCTTACTTGTTGCAACTAACTTCTTAAATTGCCTGAGGAATCCAAGTGTTTAAAAAACTGTAGCTAGCCGGGCGTGGTGGTGCACACCTATAATCCCAGCACTGGGGAGGCTGAGACAGGAGGATTGCCACAAGTTTGAGACCAGCTCCAACTACACAGCAAGACCCTGTTCTCAAAAACCAAACCAAAAAAAAGAAAAAAAGAAAAAAGTTATAGAGATAATTGTAAAGAAGGGATTTAATAAAACAGAGAAAGAGACTCCTGAGTATAGATTTCATAGAAGAGAAAAAGATGTGATTCCTTCTCTACCATGCACTCTGACATTTGGTTTAATTTACCTGTTTAAGCAAACACTGGCTCCTACACCCAGCCCAGGAGGAAAGAAAATGCCCACAAAGCCGGCATCCCCAGCTCCACCCTTTGGCTCTGCGTTCTGCTTCAGGATCACTGGTGGGACACGACAGAGCCACCAGTCTCCCGTCCCCATCCCTGCAGTTCCGGTTGCCCCCGCCGGCCCTGCGAGCAGCCCAGCCCTGTGGGCACCGAGTGGGCTCTGCGAGCAGGGCCCACACATTCTGGGAGCCGCATTTGCCCGGGAACAAGGTGCAGCTGGCTGGGAGGAGCAGCGGGCGCCAGCCCTGGAGGGACTCACTTGGGCTGTGCGTGGTGCTGGTATCCCGGTCCCAGCTGAGACCCTGCTCTCATCTCCACGGCCATGGAGCACTGTGAAGAAAGACAGGACGCGTCAGCTCCTCCCCACTGGGCAGTGCTGAGCCGTGGGCTCACAGAGGTAGAGGTCAGCGCTGCTCCCCAGCATGGTGAAGCCACCAGGGCTAACCCTCCAGCCGGACACCTGCTCTGGCGCGGTCCACCTTTGGGACCAGAAGGGCCTTGGCCGTCATCCTGGGATCTTCTTTTCCTCTACTAAGGGTGAGCACTCCAGAAGCTGGCGGCCAGGGCCAGAGCACGGCCCATGACGGCACTCACATTCTTCCCCTAGGCACCCTGCACCCCTGCGTCTGCGACCCCCGCCCCCTGCTGTGGCTCCCGTTACTCCTGTGACCTCTGGCTCCGTTCCTGAGCTCTGTCCTGCACACTGAGGAGCCCTAGCAAAACACAGATGCTCTCTCATATAGGAAGAGGCTCCAGGCTGCATCAGATTGGCCTCAGCATCTTGAGAAATCAGGAAGAGCTGGGCATAGTGGCACACACCTATAATCCCAGCACTCAGGATGCTGAGGCAGGAGGATCGCTGTGAGTTTAAGGCCAACCTGGGCTACAAAGTGAGACCCTGTCTCAAGAAAACCAAGGGGGAAAAAAAATATCAGGAAGTGCCATAGTTGTGGAACTGAAAGCCTGACACACCTGCTCCTGAGCAAGCAGATAGTTAGCATTCACCCTACCCGAGTCTCCACATCGGTCACTTCAGACTCCATGCCATCTGGTTGTGCGGGTGCTGCTGCCGATGAACTTCGCTTTCGATTACTGTAAAAGGGCAGCAGGACGCTACGGTTACGTGTGCGTGTAATAACAAGAATAATGCTGGGCCTGGGAGAGACAACTATACCCTCAGTGAGTTAATGACACGTGCCAAGGGGTTCCGTTCCCCAGAAGGAGCAGCTAAGAAACAGGCGTCCTCTCAGAGCTCACTCACCCGCCTGGCGATTGTTGTTTTAAGGTCTCTATACCAGTAAACTGAACAGCTTGTCCGCCACCTCTTGTTTTATACACGTCACCCTAAAGCCAAGAGAACAGGCCATGGTCACACTTGGATACAGCACATAATAAACATATATCATATTTACATTAACCTCAAGAGTCTACTGTTTTATCCAAACTCCCACCCACAAAATCAGATGGTGCTTGGGCTGCCGAGGCCGTACAAATGAAAACACTTTACAGAGTTGAGCTCATCTGCCTAACATTCCTGATTGTGGGGGGGAAAGATACTGCAGTTTTTTTGTGCTACCTGTAATTTTAAAGCTAAACTGCAAGCCAGGTGTGGTGACACATGCCTGTCATCCCAGCTGTCGGGAGGCTGAGGCAGGAGGATTGTGAGGTTGAGGCCAGTCTGGACAACGGAGCTAGATCCTCCCTCAAATCAAAACGGAACAGTAGAGTGACTGAATTAAGGATCAAGAAAGCTGGGGTCTGGGGATTTAGATCAGCGGCAAAGCGCCTGCCTGGCAAGCGCAAGGTTGTGAGTTCAGTTCCCGGTACCGGAGAAAAACCAAAAAAAGACCAAAAAAAAAAAAAAAGCTGCCAGAACTTTCCAAGGCACTGTGCCCTCCCTTCTTCAAACAGTGGTCTTATTTTTAACTATTTCTAAACATTGCCCTCTAAACTGAATTTTAAATGAAAAGGTTTTTTTCCCATGACTGTCTTTTATTTTCCTGTTCATTGACTCCGTGACCTAAGGAAAGAAACTTCAATAGACAGGTGAGTCTCTTCTTTCCAGAAAAAGGGCTTTCAGTAGCTAAACCTTGAGTAGTTTTCAGGAGTCAGATTTTGATACAGGCTTTTCATCTTGAACAACAGAGACACAAGGGTCTCGCGACGTTGCTAAGCTGTCCAGGCTGTCTTCAGATTTTCCATTCTCCCACCTCAGCCTCACAAGAGTGTACCACCGTGCCTGGCTTAGGGTTACCTTTTGAAGTAGAAGGAAGCTAGCTATACTATAGCTAGCTACATCATGGATCGGAGTTAGACGAAACCTGTGAATCTGAGCCTATTTAAGCAGCCTTAGTCCCAATGTAGCAGATTCACAACATAGACAGTTAAATTTGCCATGAAGAAAAGTTATACGAAATGCCCAGTTACGTTCCCGCTTGACACAAACGTGTCACCAAAAATGGCAGCAGGGGAAGGGCTCCTGGCTGAGTTTTCGAAGTGTGCTTGCTCCTGTGTACACCGTTTACCTTAATGAGCTTAGTCTCAATCTCCCCATCGGAGGCTAGTTCCTGGTGGGTCAGCATGTACTTCTCACACTTAGCTAGCGCCTTTTCACTGGGAACAGACACTGTGATGGCGCGGGGCACCTGTGGCTGCATGACTGTCTCGTTGTGCACGTTAGAGGCGGGCTTATGATCTACCCATCTCTCCCCTGCAGAGCGGGATCGTCTGCGTCGGACACCGATGGGTGGTGCGTTCTGATCAGGTTGGAAGAGGCATTGAGAAACAAGCACAGCCCAGAATTAATGGACAGGTACAATTAGAAGTGCAGCAGGCTTGGCTACATTAGCGGGCGACAGTATCGGAACAAACCTTTTCCACAGCTAAGTGTTACTTACAAAATTAAAACATTCTTTTCCTACTTAAACACAGAACCAACACATCTCTTTAACACACCAGCTTGTATAGTATATATTCTACCTGGGAGTTCCCTTTTCACTGAAGCATGAAAAGGAGAAATTCTGGTAATCCTAGTCCTTCAGTTCAGGTAGAGGGTGCAGCACAAGTCATGTAGTTTGCATTTTTTGATCAAAAATCAGTATTTATGCCTGCTTTTGTGAGGCAGCCTATCATCTATTGGATCAGTAAGTCAGCTGAAAGTATCAGTAAGACCAATAAATGCCCTAAAGGTGTCCTGGCACCTAAACAAGAGAAAACCCTCCTTATACAAAGAGACGAAAATAGTAAAAACTCATGAAGCTGTGTAGTGCAGAAATATTAAAGGATGTAAGTTGTAATAAAACCCTCTGTACAACATGATTAAAGCACCACAAAGTACTTCTGAGCAATTTCAGTTCATATTCTTAAGTCTCAAAACAGAACTTCATGAAAATTTTCAAGTACAACAATGGCTAAAATGTACCAACTATTTCCCTCCGTAACTTCCTAAAGGTTCTAAGAATCAAAGACTAGAGTATCAAATCAGTCTCTGGCATACAGTAAAAAAACTAGCTGCCGCCAGTCAAATGCCACATAGATCTGGGAAAGTTAAGTTTGGCACATGCAGCCTATGAAAAGATTCTTCGCATACACGACACAGTTAACAGCTTGAAGCAATTGTGCGAACATCTCCTGTTTAAAAAATTAGAAACAAATGGAAAATGTCTACCACAGGCCAAAGCCTTCAAAGCTGGCCAAGTAGGAGGATCCCAGTTTCAAAATGCACATCTGGAGAACCCAATCTTTCTCCCTGTAGACTTACAAAAAAACAGATGCAGCACAGCTCAATTGATACAATAAAATACAGCCAATATAATTTGCCACTAAAGATGCCCGCCTCAGCGCAGGGAGGAAACTGCATTCCTGACATGGTCTGATGGATGATGAAAAGTCTGGCCCTTAGGAAGGACCGCTTAGCAGGGATGAGTGTTCTTCAAGTCCTCAGGCAATAACACATCCTGAATCAGGCTTTGGGGCACCTTCTTCTAGCATTCATGATACTACTATGTTTTCCCTCACCTCAAAATCCAATTCAGTCGACCTGGTTATTTTTTTCGACCAACGAACCTGGACACATAGATGCTAACCGTAGGTAACTTCTGCTGCACTTCTAAGAGGATTTTGATTTCAAGGAAGAAGCTAAAGTGCCTCTAGTAAATCCTCTTAAATATCACAGGGCCAAATTAGGCATTTCATTCCTCCTGGCCAGGGAAAAGCAGGCCTTTAACAGTTTTCCGTCTACACACGGCCACAAAATAAGGGGATTGACTAGAGTTGATCAGAAGGACCGACCATTCACCATGATTTGCTCCCTAAAGAGGTTTAAGGCGAAATCTGCAAAGCAGAACTTAAGCGATTTTAGAAGCGTCTGTTGGTAGGTGCCTGGGGATTCATCTCTGTTAGTAATGAGTAATCAGGGCACCTAAGTTAAAATCTGAAGCAAATATTTACTGTAAGATCAATTTACTTAGAAGAAAAGTTTTCACATAGCTCTGTTAAGATTTTACTAGGCAGAAGTCCCAAAATTAACTTGGTCCCTTTACTTAGATTCAAAGGAAACTACCTTAGTTTGTAAGAAAAAAATATGAAAGTGACTTTATCGAAACACCCTCGAATCAGGCAAAGTGCTTGTAATTTGACATAAAAGACTCAAGATCAAAAGCAATTTTTTGGATATAGAAGCCATCAATAGTAGTTTCAAATTTACTCACCTAACTTTCCTAACAGCCAGTGTCATGAAAATCAAAAAATGTGGGGGCTGTTTTATATTAATAGAGTTTAACGAGACATACTTAACACACACAGTATAGTTACCTTGATAATATCATTGGCTGAAATAGAAGAAAAGCCAATATTGGGATAATTTGGGAAGTTAGAAGCTATTCAGTTAATTCCACAAAAGCAACTTGTAGGTTATGTAGGACAGTGGCCTTATTTTAGACATGAAGTCTCACAAAGACCGACTTTCAGAGGATTTGGGGGGGAAATGTTTACGTAAAGTAACTGGTAAATCTAGGTAAGGGGGAAACGAATTACTACCCATTCATTCAACTTTCTTTGGGTTTGAAATTTTTTAGAATAGTGGCTTGAGAAAATAACTTTAAAAATTAGACTTCCAACAAAACAAGAGAAAGAATTTTTAAATTTGGAAAAGGGAACCAGAAAAAAACAAAATAGAATGTGTGCTCGGAGACACTTACATTTGAGCTGAGAAGCCCAGTGGTAGAGTTCGGGCTTAGTATTTGTCAGGTCTGGAGTTCAATCCCCAGCACCAAAACGATAAAAAAAAGATACGGAGACATTCCTGTCTGCCAGTTCCGTGCAAAGCCTGCTAACCTCTGCAGCTGCAAAGCACAGACCGCTGGGTGAGCCAAAGTGGGCTGCTCTCACTGAGCTCACGTCTGGGGCCAGATGTGCTCAGGCTGTTTCAGAGGCGCTCAGCCTCGATTTCAGGGTGGCTCAGCCTTTCCAGGTCACCGACAGAAAAACCCAGTCGTGTTCACAACGGAGCCCGCCCAACTTTCCATTGAACTTTGAGAACCAAGTTACCAAAAAGCAAAGAAAATCAAATCTATTGCTATGATGATGCTCGGCACTGACCCTGCAGCAAGGATCCTCTTGTACGTCTATCTCGTTCCTGAACGTAGGAACCACCTCCCTGCCTTCCGTCCAGTACATCCCTCGCCTTCTGTCTGACACGAAACAAGTTTTACTTTGTTCTGGCTCCTGCTGCCTACGCCTCGCAATAGACGTGACATTGCCAGGAGTGTTGTACGAAGGAATTTTCTGCTCCCACTCCGATACACAGGAAGCCACAGAAATGCTGCTCCAAGAGTTAGAGCGCCTACGTAGCTGTGGCTGACTCATGAGTTGCTGGCCGTTGGAAATCTGAGCAATATAGTTACTAGAAAGCTAGAAAAAGTGGAGAAAGGTTAATGAGTGAGACAAAACACTGAGAGCAACAGTTCATTACTTTTCTATCATTTTAGCACGAGAAGACTTTGTAAGTAGTTACGTGGATTGTTACATTTTCGGTATTTGTTTAAACTAGATTTTTAAAGTTTTTAATAGAACTTGAAGAAATGTCATCAATCACATACAATAAAAAATTTGATTCTTCTAGAAAGACCCGTGAGCTGAGCCAACTAGGGCAAAGCGGCTATAGAACGGGGAACTTACGGCCGGCGACGCAGAAGCCGATCTGCGAGTGGCTCTGTCCTGGCCGCGGTCCCGCTCCCGAGAGGGTCGCTGTGGCTTTTCCGTTTTGGGCTCAGTAACGATAGCTTTCAGCTGTTTCAGTTTTTCATCTTTGACCCAAAGTTGGTTTTGCATCTCCAGCTGCGTGGCTGCCACGCGGCGGTCCTGCAGACGACCCACAGCGTGTTAGCGCTCATACCCAGCGAGAACACCCATCTCCCACCCATCACCACCCCCTCGCCTTAAACTGACAGTTCTCCCGTTCTTCCTCAGATGAGCCAATGTGTACCACAAGGACAGGCACTGAAAGCAGCTAAACTACGCCTGGAAGAGAACCGCCCAGCTCTGGGGGAGCCCCGGAAGGGCGACACTCACACACTCCTTCTGCCACTTCGTTGTCATTTCGGCCACCATGCCTTGCAGCCTGGTTTCCAGCCTGCACTGCTCAGAAATCTGTCGCTGAAGTTGCTGATTCTGGCTTTCAAGTTCCTGTTGCAGATTACGCCTGTCTTTTTCATAGATAGAAGTTGTTTGCTCTAAAATCTGAACCTGGGAAAGTAGACCACTGTATTCAACAGTTGGCATACGAACATTTCACGTGGATTTAAAATCACCTTTCTAAATTCTTCACGGGAGCACAATTGTGGAAAGAAAAATCATAGAAAAAGCACCTTTTCTTTCTAAAATTTCATCTAAAAAAATAAATAAGGGGCTGGGGATTTAGCTCAGCGGCACAGCGCCTGCCTGGCAAGTGCAAGGTCGTGAGTTTGATTCCCAGTACCAGAAAAAAACATAAATTAAAAAAAAAAAAAAAAAATTTCATCTAAATTCCTAGCTCCATTCCCAGAAATTAAATAAGCTCCCCACTGAAACAGAAGGTTATAACTAACCTCAAGCAAAAATCCTTTTCCCCTAAAACTACAGCCTAACACTTTAATTTCTTAGGCGAGTTTCAGAATAAGAGAAAACCGTGCAAGACTGTGTCGTCGCCCACCGCACCCCCAGCCTCTGAGTGACTCTCAGCTGAGGCCGAGCAGTGCCCAGCGCCACGCTGCTCCGCAGCGCACACACGGGGCGTCCTGAGTCTGTGCTCTTCCCACATGAATTGGAAACCAAATCCACATCCAGTGAACACTCACTGAGGATCCGCCTCGTTCAAGGAACCAAACGGGCACTTTCCCATTACCTCACATAAGCATTAATTTCATGATTTTTTTTTTAAAAAAGCATATGGAAGAAATTGTTCTAATAAGAAGCCTATAATCTCGGGGAGGGGCAGGGACAGTAAATGACAAGGGATCACGAAGGAGCAGCAGGCACAGGCGTGGGGAGGAGCCCGGTGTGAGGCCAGCACTACCCGGCCGCTGCAGGACCCCAAAGCAAACCTTGTGTTCCAGCGTCTTGTTCTTCTTTCCCAGTTGTTCTATTTCCAACTTCTGTCCTGATATCAGCTTATCTTTTTCATTTAGTTTTCCCTGATTATAGCCTTCTTTATTTCTAACAGCGCTTTCAAATTCTTGTAACAAAGCACTGAACGCATTCGCTGAAATAAAAGCACGCAGACCAAGCTTCACTCCGATTGCAAAAGGACCAGAGGGAAGCAACTCGTATTAGGAGACACTAGATGGATGTAGCTTTCAGCAGACACCACCCCGAGAAGCGAGCTATATAAGGGGAAAACGAGTTCCAAAAGGAATCAGGACTTTGATTCTCAAATATACAGGAGACATTCACAGAAGCTTCCTTCTTTCGTCCCCCTCTTCTCTCCTTTCTGAAACAGACTTTTGCTATTTGGTCCAGGTCATCCTTGAGCTCTCTAAGTAGCCCAGGCTGCCTTTGACCTCATGATCCTCCTGCCTCACTCAGCCTTCTGAGTGCAGAGATTATAGGTGTGCACCACCACACCCAACTTGAAGCTTTCTTTCTAATACTGAAAAAGACTTCCATTCTGCACTACAGTATCCTCTTAATGCTTACAGGCAAATAACTTGCTTCCAAATGCAGCAACGGAAACAGCTCTTGATTCGAGATCAGCTGGCCATGCGGGAACCCCCAGGGACACCAGTTACTAACCTTGTCTGGCAAACTCGTTGCTCATCATTTGTCGCAGGTGATGCCGTTTCTCCAAGCTCTCGATTAGTCGAGGAAGGGTCTGCTCATCGTTGATGTCTAAGATCTCACACAGCGGCAAAGGCGGAAAACTCTGCAGACCCACCTCGGTGACCATGGCTTCTGGATCGAATCACACAGTGACAAGGTTACACAGGAGAGAAAGAGCTTCCACAAGCTTAAGGTGCAATCAGAGCCCCAGGGCAATGAGTCACGGCATTTCTAACGAGACCGTAATAGTACTGCCTGGTTTAAACTTTTTTGCAATTGGTTCTTGAAAAGAAGGAAAGTAAACAGTTGCCTTATATGAAACAGATTTTTCAAAACTTAGAGCCAGACCAACCGGTGAGTAGATGCTACAACGCCACATCATACCATCTCCAACCGGGCCGCCTCGAATCTGGTTTCTGAGCCGCCTGTCGGGCAGTAAGCCATATGTGGCCTTGTCTACCGCTTTGGCAACTTCCACCTCTTGGGTCACTTCTGCAAATCTCATGACTTGCTGCAACACAAAACAAATGTGGTTTGTAAAAGATAAGTGTCTCCCAAGTCCTCTAGAAATCACTGCATGAAGCAAAAATATATTGGTGATCAGTTCACCCTCTATCCAGTGGTTCTATATCAACTTAATGTTCAAAATACAAATCTTCACATCCAAACAGCCGTCTTCCCTACAAAAAAAAAAAAAAAAAACCTTGATTTTATAGGATAAATAAGTGAAAATTACCAGATTTTCTTCATAATCAGTGGTCTTTGGATTAACACAGACGACCATGCGCACTTTTCCCTCTCCATCGAAATAGTTCTTAAACAGATGGGTTAACTTGGAATCTCGATACGGAACCATCTATAAGAACATGCAGGTGTAAGTACACAAGACAAACACAAACAGAACCGTATACATAGTTCATGCCACTGCCACCGACCTTGTTGATTCCGTACATCTGGTTTTCTCTCAGGATCTCCATACACGTTCTCAGCGTCATCAGTGACTGATTGATGTTTCCTAACGGAAAAACGCACAGTGAACGCCCTGAGAAACAGTGTAGTAGCTGAAATGTGCTGTGTGTGCCTATAAAAATCTCAGCTTCACATTGACTATTAGATGGGAATCACAAACAGATTTTCATGGCTCAATTAAAGAGTAGTCTATGCATGGTCCAGATTCCTTTTTTGTTTTTCTTTTTGAAACGGGGTCTTGCTATGTAGTTCAGGCTGACCTTGAACTCACTATGTAGCCCAAGCTGGTTGCAAAATGGCAGTGATCCTCCTGCCTCTGCCTCTTGAGTGCTGGATTATAGGTGTGTATCACCACACCCAGCCAGGCTGTGTTTCTACATTAGCACTTCTATATAAGTTAAAAAGCAACATCGCAGGTAATGCCCCAGGAGGCCTCTCTAGTTTTATAAAGTACACAGGTCAGATACAGGGGTTTAATGTCCTCATACTGAAATCTCTCTAAAGCGATCTCTAAAGCATGACCATTTAAGGCCACACCGGCTCCACCAGGAGTCAGGAGCCCCCTTTGGGCCCTGAAGAACCAGCGAACTCTGACCCTCCGCATCTCAACAAGGATTGCTAAGCAGCATAGTTGTTATTTCTGACCAGTCTTGTTTGGATTTCTTAGCAGAGGCAAGCCTGACAGATGCCTCAAGCCTCTAAGACCACAGCTATCACCTGATTATACCTAAGTGCGCCTAGGAATGCGTTCATTCTCGAACTGTGTTACGGGCAGCGGGCTCCACTGTACTGTGTCTCTGGCTTATCGAATAGATGAGCTAGGAGCTAAGTTTAAAGGTCAGTGATGCTTCGGCTATGCTGGTTTGGTATAATGTAAATTATCTGAAATGGAGACACTTACACTATAGCTGCCACTGACAGCGTAGATACTAAGCTGGCAGTGTAAGTTTCTGAAAGCTGTCGAGTGTGATGCGCTACCCACCCGCTTCCCGCAATCTGTTTCCTTCTGCTTTGGTCCGGTTAGTCCTTTCGCTGCCAGCAAGATCTACCAGGAACAGCTGGCTGATCGAGATTTGTTCTTTTTCCTAAAAGAGATGACAAAGCCAATAACCGAAAGTAAGTTATGACAGCTCATAGTGTTCTTGAAACAGAATCAGGTCAATAAAATCATTAAGGGGGCTGGGGATTTAGCTGAGCGGCATAGCGCCTGCCTGGCAAGTGCAAGGTCGTGAGTTCGTGAGTTCGATTCCCGGTACCAGAAAAAAATAAAATTATTAAGTTCTAACAAATGTAGTATTTGCATAATACACAATGCGCAGGACAGAGGACATGACCTATAGGAGTCCTGATATGAGCTGTAAACGTATGATGAAAACACTCATGACATGGAACTACCACTTGTCTGCACCAGAAGATGCAGGCTCCTTGGCAACAGGGACTCAGCCTTTACCACTTTACCTCCAGCATCGCGCACACTTTTCTGTGAAGAGATTCAGAGGAAACCAAGTGTACACTGAAGGCTGATGTATACCCAGTTTCTGGCTGAAGTGTGTTAACTGAACAACTGTCACATTTGTTGCTGACTACACGAAGCCCTGGGTCATGAACTTTAGAAGCACTCCATCTTTTAGTCTTCACCATCTTTCCCCTTTTTTGTTTCCTCAGTTTGGAGGATTGAAACCAGGGCCTTCATACTGAGCTATGCCTCCCAACCCTGTTATATTTATTATTTTGAGAAGGGTCCCACTACGTCACAAAGTTGCCCAGACTGAACTGAGCTTGTAGTCCTCCTGCTCCAGCCGCCCGTGTGCGGGGATTACAGGCTCGCACCACACAATCTTGGGAGGAGATTCTGTTATAGTACTAGACGATGACAGTTAGGTCGGACAGCTAGTAAATAAATAGGAGTAAGAGTTCAAATCCTAGTCGTCTGCAGTATCCTTTCTTGCTGCCACCTATAAACCATTACAGCAAAATTGCATGGTACAGTATTATGGTTACACTTGAACAGCTTAAAGTTCCTAATTGCATCCTGAGGTGCAAACCCTGTCGGTAATTGCCGTAAGCCTTGGAGCGTGCCGGGTGTGGCAGTAACTAGTGATCAGCAGGTGACATCCCACCAGCCCATCTGCCGGAAGAGAAGCCACTCAGAGCACTGGCCACACCCTAACTGCACTTATGCTAAGAAGCTAACTGCTGACGTTGAAAAATAACTGCATTTTCCCATACAAAAGAGCCACTAAGGATGAAGTAATTGTACATTCTTACTCTAAAGATTTTTAAAAGTGGGCTGGGCATGGTGGGTGGTGCACGCCTGTCATCCCAGCACTCGGGAGGCTGAGGCAGGAGGATCATTGCGAGTTGGAGACCAGCCTGGGCTACAAAGTGCACTCAAGGCCAGCCTGAACTGCATAGCAAGACCCTGTCTCAAAAAGACAAAAAAAAAAAAAAAAAAAAAAAAAAAAAAAAAAGATATCTAAAAGTATGTAAATCCTTTTCACAGTACGATTCCAAGTGCACAGATACTATGTAATGAGAAAAAAAATTATTTGCAAGTATCAGCTACTTATATATTACTTCTAGAGCAGTCTTCATTACAACGACACGTTTGTAATTTAACTGTAAGGCCAGAAACTGAGCCCTGAGGCCGCGAGCAAGCCCACGCTGCAGTGTACCTGCAGGACGTTGTCCCTGTCTGCATCCAGCGGAGCCTTCACTAGCTTAATGTTGAACACGCTATGCGAACGGCTGGACTCCTGGTTCAAGTGCGTGTTGGCAATGCGTCTCTTTGTCTGGCCTGTGACGACAGAGACATCGTTGAGCAGACCTTAATCGTTTCATGACACATACATCCCGATACACCAGAAGGGCTGCTGTCTGAGTACAGTGCCCACTCTCAGGGTCCAGCCCATTGCTTTATATTCTCCTTCTAGCTGTGGTTCTAACCTCTCCAGAAAACTTCAAAAGCCTCCTCGGTAGATTTCACTTCCACTTGAGTGCATCCTGCAACATACATGTTATGGTTCTTATCCTCTCGCAGCATTTTAGACTGTGGCAATCTACGGGAAGGAGAAAAAGGTTAGATTCCCAAACCAGGAGATACTGATGTGCTCACTGACCACTAGAACTGCACTGCTCAGTAACTCTAGCGCTCCCGAGATAAGCTCAGTAAAGACCCTGGAGAAATGGGGTGGTGAGGGGCTCACGGTCAGGTTAGTTACCTAGCAAGGCGACGGGAAGCAGTTCTGTTGTAAAAGCTTTGCTCTGGATCGCTAATAAAGCACAAGAAACACTCACACTGGAGTGCAGTAGGACCATGGCAACACCCCCTACGCGGCTTCATGCCACACCGGGCACCTCCCAACTGGCTCTGCCCTCGGCGGCAACAGAGCCCACGTGTATGACAGAGCTCAGCCACTGTTTTCAGAGCGGCACCATTTCAAAGACAGTTCCATAGCAAGGAGGGCAGAGGGAGCAGCCAGCCCAGTGCCAGCAGAACCCTACACGCAAACGTGCCACGGCCACCAGCCACTAGCGCTAACTGCACCCGTCTTTAGGAAAGAGACACCACCACTGTCACATACACAAAATCTGTGCTCCTCCTGGGTTCCTGCAACTATCGCACCTACCAAAGGAACAGGGTAAATGCTGCGGTTTCCACAGCAGCACTGCAGCCCAGACTAAGACAGGCATGACGAGAAGTACCATAAAAACCGCCCACTTGCAGCATTTCTTCAGTGCATTAACGACCACTAAAAGTGTCAGGCATGGTGGCGCACACTTGCAATCCCAGCACTGGGGAGGCTGAGGCAGAAAGACTGCCTCAAATTCAACGCCAGCCTGGAGTGCATACCCTGCCTCAAACAATGGAAAACAAGGGTGGGACCTGGTGGCACACGCCTGGCCTGTAATCCCAGCACTCGGATTATGAGTTCAAGGCCACCTGGGCTACAAAGTGAGCTCAAGACTAGCCCGAGCTGCCAGTGAGACCCTGTCTAAAAAAAAAGAAAATGCAAAACAAGGTGGGCATGGTGGCACATGCCGATTATCCCAGCGCTGGGAAGGCTGAGGCAGGAAGACTGAATCACGTTTGAGACATGCCTGGGCTACATAATGAGTTCAAGGCCAGCTTGAACTACAGAGCAAGACCCTATCACAAACAAAAACAGTAAAAATTAATAGCTCAGAAAACAGGTCTGACACCACCCTACCAAATTAAATCTGAATCAAATGGCTAACGCGCACCCTTGTAAACAGGAAGGTTACCAAGCATGCAGGCACTTATGATGGTCTTCCCTTGCAGAACTTAGTTACCCAAGAGAGGGTCCTTTGAAAGAATCCCAATCTAAACAAACCAAACAAAAACGTGGCACACAGGCCAGGCACACATGGAGGTAATGAATGCTATTACCAAAGTCCAGGAAAATGGATACACACAAAGCTGGAGTCAAGACAGCAGCTTGAGACAAATGGGAAAGTAGTAAATTCAGTAATAAAAATCAACTATCGCCAGGCATGGTAGCACACACCGCAATACCAGCACTCTGGAAGGCTGAGGCAGGAGGACTGGAAGTTTGAGCCAAGTCTAAGCAACTTAATAACTTAGCAAGATCCCATCTCAAAATAAAAAATAAAGTGGAGGACGACAGCTGGGGATATAGCATAATGCAAAGGCCCTGTATTCAATCCCCAGTACCAGAAAACACATGCAAACACAACACACACCTTGTAAGATCTTTACTCTTTCACATGTTTATAAGCCCAGATGTTTTTTAATATGAATACTCCAAGAGTATAAAAAATAGTGCCTCCAAAAATAAGCTACCCACCGCAAAAAAAAGTCCTGTAATCCCAGCGCTTGGGAGCCTGAGGCAGGAGGATCGCTGCAAGTTTGAGGCCAGCCTGGCCTACAAAGTGAGTTCAAGGTTAGTCTGAACTGCATAGTAAGACCCTGTCTCAAAACAAACAAAAACATAAGTAAACAAAAATAAATCCCTTGGTAAAGTTCTCATTTAAGGAAGGAGTAATTAGAGCAAAAAAAAAAAAAAACGGGGGGTAGTCTTTCTTCACATAAATGTGTAGAATTAAAACATTTATATTTACTTCAGTTACCTACCTACTTGGTAAATTCAGGGACCCCGGGGGTTCCTCCACTGACATGTGGTTCAGTAAGGGCCATACAAATGCTTGTCAAGTGTGGCCGCAACCAAAACCCATACGTTTCATTGAAGCCAGCTGCATATACTGACATCTGTTCTCAGTCTAATCATCTCCTAAATCAAGCTGCTTCTCCAGTGAGGCAGAGGCAAACAAGCTTTTTTTTTTTGAGACAAGGCCTCACTATGCAGTTCAGGCTGACCTTGAACACACTATGTAGCCCAGGCCAGCCTCGCTTATGGCAGTCCACCTGCCTCAGCCTCCAGAGTGCTGGGACTATAGGCCTGTGCCACCATACCCCCTCACACAAATTAAATATAAGACACAAGGCTGCATATCATGGATGTCCTCCAAGGTCCTGACAAAGATGGCCCTAAAGGCCAGCTTTTTTATTTTTTTGTCTTTTTGAGACAAGGTGCAGCTCAGGAATTTACCAAATAGGTAGGTAAGTAAATATAAATGTTTTAATTCTACACATTTATGTGAAGAAAGACTACCCCCCCACTTTTGTTGCTCTAGTTAACCCTTCCTTAAATGAGAACTTTACCAAGGGATTTATTTTTGTTTGTTTTGAGACAGGGTCTTACTATGCAGTTCAGACTAGCCTTGAACTCACTTTGTAGGCCAGGCTGGCCTCAAACTTGCAGCGATCCTCCTGCCTCAGGCTCCCAAGCGCTGGGATTACAGGTGTGCACCACCATGCCCACTGTGCAGTCCAGGCTGGCCTCAAACTTGCAATGATCCTCCTGCCTCAGCCCCCCAAGTGCTGAGATTATAGGCATGTGCCACCGTGCCTGGCTAAGGCCAGCTTTTAGCTGGAGAACAAAACCCTCCACAGAGGAACAAGATACAATACTAACATTAGACCTAAGATTTCAGTCAGCTCAGGCACAAATGCAGATTCATTATTTGTGACCACTCATGGTAACTGGGTCTTGTCTTAGGTTTCCAGCAAGACAAGACCCAGGAACCTAAGGCATTGTCTGAGCTCTGGCAGAGTAACAATGCAGTGTCACTTTGTATTAACCAACGATGGCTGGTCAGAGAACACCTGTACACCATGATCCATAGACACAGCTAAGACAGAGGGCTGAAGAGGCTGCAAAACTCCCCATGCTGAGCATCAGGTCCTTGAAAGGGAGCCCCAACCTGCATCAACAGGGATGCTCCCTTATAAAATTAATCAGGGGGGCTGGGGATATAGCTCAGTGGCACAAACGCCTGCCTGGCAAGCGCGAAGTCCTGAGTTCGATTCCCCGTCCCCCCCAGAAAAAAAGTTAATCAGGGGACCTGCTCAGAATAGCTGCAACCAAGCATTCTCAAAAGTAATCTCCAGCTGAGTGTGGTGATGCACGCCTGTAATCCCAGCAGTCGAAAGGCTGAGGCAGGAAGATCGCTCTGAGTTTGAGGCCAGCCTCAGCTACATATTGAGTTCAAGGTTAGCCTGAACTGCATAGCGAGGCCCTGTCTCAAAACAACAACAAAAAAAGTAATCTCCAAGATGAACATCCAGGTCACTTTCTTCCTTATATGCCTGAGCCCTCTCGTCCCCTAAAACAGCTACTATACTGTTAGTAATAAAACTGCTTCCTGAACACTAAATACATAATGTTTCACTCTGAAATCAAACGCAAGCATTGTCCCCATTTATAGCTGAAAAAAACAAAGCCTCCCTGGAGTAAAGTGACTTCCCAAAGGTGAACAGCTAAGGCCTCAAGGTCCCTACTTACTTGCTCTTTATTGGATCAAAGGGCATCTCCTCCAGTAGGTCATATATGTAATTATTATATATTTCAATGTAAGAGACAAAGACACCATAGACGCTGTCTTCATCGACTTGCTCTACTTTGCAGGATTCTTGGACGTTTATTATATCTGCAAAGTCTGGATCTACTTGTCGTCTGAAAAGGCAAAAACAGAGAAGCGAGTTTATTCGCTGTAAGTCACGATCTGAAGTAAGTGTGCCACAGGGAGACTAAAGCTCTAACGCAGATGATCAGGCATTTAGGCAGGGTCCGCAAATCTACCTCCTTCCTACTTACTCAAATCTGCCAGTGCCCCGGTCCTGCCAGAGGCCCAGCACAGGCTGGAGCCCGGGTGCTCGGAACCAGAGAGAACGCCGGAGCAAAGAGACCGTTCAGCATTCCACAGCCACCTTTTCTACTCGGCACACCCGAGCCACAGCCCGCACTGCAGACGCCCAGATGGATTACTTACTTGCCGGAGGGGGTCTTCGGGATGGGAGTGGCTTCTCGTTTCTGCCGTTCTAATAAGGCATCAACCTCACACTGAATTTCCATGCTATTCCTATCATTAGATTTAAAAACCTGAAAGAGGGGCAAACATCAAACCATGCTTCTTAGAGCAGTAATTAAGAAATGAGCCAAGTAACATTTAAACATTTCAGTTTCAAGATGGCGGTGATGCTAATCCACTGTATCCACAGGCATCTTGGGCCTGTGTAAAACAGGAACGGCTCAGGCTCAGGCACAGGCTCAGGCCGTGTGTGGTGGTGCACACCTGTAATCCCGGCACTTGGGAGGCTGAGGCAAGAGGATTGCCAGTGTGTTCAAGGCCAGCCTGGGCTACACAGTGAGACTCTGTCTCAAAAGAAAAAAAAAGAAACTCTAAACTAAAAACTACACAGGAGACAAATACTTACATAGCGTTTGGCCTGGAATGCTCCTATGCTGTTAAATATCATCTTCAAGCACCGAGGAAGCAGCCCGCCTTCCCCCGGAGAACCCGTCATCGTGTGAGTTTTCCCACTTCCTGTCACGCCATATGTAAAGAGAAGACCTGCGGCACAGCAAGTCATGATGAGCTAAAATCCTGCACTCAGAGTGTGTCTTCCATCGTAAGCAAAAAACACAACAATTAACCTGCTCAAAAATAGCAGGTTTAACATCACTCCAACAAATCTGAATTCAAGTGAAACAGAAACCAAATTATAGATTTCAAAAGTTTTATCTGAAGACAAGAAAGGTCAGGCGTGGTGGTGCACACCTGTAATCCCAGCCCTTGGGAGGCTGAGGCAGGAGGATCACTGTGAGTTCAAGGCCAGCCTGGGTTACATAAGCAAGTTCAAAGCCAGCCTGAACTGCATAGTGAGACCCTGCCTTAAACAGACAGAAAAAGAAGACAAGAAACAGAGAGGGCTGGGGATATAGCTCAGTGGCACAGCCCCTGCCTAGCAAGCTCAAGGTCCCAAGTTTGAGTCCCAGTACCAAAAGAAAAAAAAAAAAAACAAGCCGGGTATGGTGGCACATGCCTGTAATTCCAGCACTCAGGAGGCTGAGGCAGGAGGATCCTTGCAGAGTTCAGACCAGCCTGGGCTACAAAGTGAGCTCAAGGCCAGCCTGAACTGCAGAGCAAGACTTTGTCTCAAAAAGACAAAAAAAAGAAAAAAAGCAAACTGGGAAAGCCAAGCAAACTCCCAAGAATCTCACCATTTTTGCCACGAATGAGGTCATCTACTAAGGGCTTCGCCACAACGTCAAAAAGCTCCTGCTGGGTGGTGTAAGCACCAAACACTTGCTTAAAGGAGTACTGAGTCTGTGGATGGAAGAGAAAACGCACTCCTGGAACTCCAGGCTATGGAGCCTAGAAGTGTACCCGCTTATACCTAGGATGTTTTGTTACGAACAGTTCAGACACAGAAGGTGAAACTATGATCCTGACATCTCCAACCTTTGGTCTCTTAGCAAATGACACAGTCACGACACACTTAAGTTACATCAATTTACAGGCCGGTAAATCTTTCCAGTCTCAACTCCTGAAGAGTACAGAAAAGCTTTAAGTCCACTAGAAGACTTTGTTTTCATCAAGTGACAGGGAAGGCCAAAAGGTATTATGTTTCGTAGTCACAGGGTTACGGAAATCTTTATTCCTTCATACACTATTGTACTACTTTTTCCTTTATAAAAAAAGTCATTTAGAATAGCAATAGCTAAGGTGGGGTGTTTCTATACAGGCGGTAGCGCACACTCACAACCCCAACACCCAGGGTTCAGGCTGATCTGATGAGCCCCGAAGATTATTAAGTGCTAAACGCTAAGGGGACTCGGCCTTCTGAGTTCCCTTAGTATCATACAAAATATAGAAATACTTTCTAAGAGGTTGATGCAAGCTAGTGTGGGCACCAGTACGCAAGCTCAGCGTGGGCACTGGCTCAAAATAAAAACGGGCTGGAATGAAGGTTAGTGTGAAGGCTGTGGATTTGATCCCCAGTACTAAAGAAGAGAGGAAAAAAGGGAGAGGAAGAGGAGGAAGAAGAGAGGGAGAAGAAGGAACAAGAGCCGAGCCAGGTTTGGTGGCGCACACCTGTAACCCCAGCATTTGTATTGGCAGTCCGTCACCTTAGACATTCAGCCACCTGTCAGGATGAATCCCAGCATTTGGGAGACTGAGGCAGGACTGCCATGAGTTCAGGGCCAACCAAGGCTACACAGCAAGTTCAAGGCCAGCTTGAACTGCATAGTGAGAGCCTGTTTCAAAAAAACAAGACGTTGGAAGAGAAGGGAGTTGTTGACACACATATATGATGTCTACTGTTAGGTGTTATTTCAATTTCCACACCGGAAATTGTAAATGTAAAACTGACCGCAAGATTACGTCATTGCCCGTTAAACTCTCCCACTAGGCGGGGTGGTGCATGCCTGTAATCCCAGCACTCAGGAGGCTGAGGCAGGAGGATCTTTGCAAGTTCGAGGTTATCCTGGGCTACAAAGTGAGTTCAAGGCCAGCCTGAACTGCATAGGGAGACCCTGTCTCAAAAAGACAAAAAAAATAAGTAAACTCTCCCTAATATTATGCCCTGAAGGCAGCCCCCTAACACCAGCACACCAGACATGTAAAAACCCTGGAAATCAAAACACGTTAGATACAGTGGCGATAAGCAAAGAAACCCGTCTTTCAAACAATGAGATCACATGCAAAACTGTTAAATTCAACAATGGAAAAGCTGCTCAGGAAATTCAAGTGAAAACAAGCTGGTGTCGGTAGGAATTACCTCCTTGTCGTTTCCAGTTCTGTTTAATTTGTTAAAGCCCTCGGGAGGGTGAAACTGCACCGTTGTGTCACTGATGACCTCAATGCAGCTGCACTCCTGGTCAGGGAAGCTCAGCGGGCGCACCCTACAGTACACCTGGAAAAGCAGGGGCTTGCTGGTCAGCCTCACCTCTCACCTAAGCTTCCCATTCACTCATTCACTCATTCAACAAACATTCAGGGTCTCAGCTTGTGAGACCAATATGAACACAGTGCCAGTGAAAAACTCTGCTGGTCAAGATTGTTGAATGGAGGGGCTGGGGATTTAGCTCAGTGGCAAAAGCGCCTGCCTGGCAAGCGCAAGATCATGAGTTCGGTTCCCGGTACCGGAGAAAAACCAAAAAAAAAAAAAAAAAAAAAAAAAGATTGTTGAATGGAAACATACATGCGACGTGAGAAAACATTGAAAATATGTAACATCAAAATTAATTTGGATAACAAAAGTATCAGATTGTTAAGGTCATCTTTCACTTTTATATTGTGCACCAGTGACTAAGTTATGCCACTAACAAAGATCTCTTTAAAGAGCAAATAAAAGCTGCCAGAATTTCTTGGAATTGGACGTCAATTAAACCTTGTTAGCCTAACCTAACACTTAATACAGAAAGTATAAAAAGGGAGGAAGTGTTGGGGAAAACCTGTCCAATAGTGTGCCCAAGCACCTGCCATTCAGTCCAGTGACAGGGCAGGGGGGATTTAAAATGCCTCTGAGGAAAAAAAAAAAAAGCAAACCAATCCTGTTATTTTTTATTTCGTTTTAAAAGCCACGTCCCAAGCCTGAAATCACTTGCAGTTATGAGCGGCGTTGAAGTGAATCCAGCTGTACCAGAGTCTATGAAACTGGGAGAGGAGGGGTCCACTGGAAACCTGGGCTACCTCGTTCGGTGGGAGAGGGCACTCAAGTCTGAGCAGAAAGTCTGCCCCCCATCCCAAGGAGGGTGAGATCAGGCCAGGAGAGGACTTCTGATTAGATATACCAAGCATTCAGTCAACAACCAAAGACCGCAACTAATTAATCCTACAGGGGAACACAGCTAGAACCAGCTGGACACAATTCAGTAAACCTAATTAACTCTTTTTCGCTTACTCCACACCTCTACCACCTTTCCTCTGGAGCACACACAGAAGAGGGAGACGACTGAAAAAAAAAACACCGGCCATCAAGCCAGGCGAAACCTTACCCCAACCGGCTCCTTGAGGTTCCTGGGGATCCCTTTTCTCACTGGTTTCCTAGGCGTCTTAGTTCTCCTGGTCATTAAAAAAAAAAAAAAAAAAAAGACTCAGTTCAACACTAACATACAAAGACCTCACATACAATTCATACAAAGCCAGCGTTCCTCTGGTTTATAAAATTGTTCCTCAGAAGTGCCGAAACACTGCATCCCCAATAACATAAGCTGCAGTAGAAGGTGCAGACATAATCCAACAGTAAAGTTTGCTATAGCATCTGCACCTTACTTGTTCAGTTTTGTATTTCAAACACTCTGTACATTTTCTTGATCAATAGTTCTACTGAAGCACTACAAATGTGAAATATCTACGGATAACTTCCTGCACTTACCTTTAGACACACAGATGGACACAGGCACACACTATATCAACAGTCGTGTCCCAGGCACAGTGACAGGGCGCTAACCTCAGTCAGTCACAAGAATGCCCAAGGAGGAATGCAGCCTCTATGTGTACCGCATACTTTCGCAGAACTGGTCATTCACACTCAGCAGGGCGGCCCATCTCTCTTTTGCCCTATCCCTATCACTCAGACTACCACCATGGGCACCTTGCTCCCTTTAAACAGGAAAAACATGAAATGCCATTTTCGTTTATTTCACTACCGTTTAACACTAAAATAAATTGATTGGTTTGGACCACAGATTTCTAAAATACTTTTGTCAACATATCCCCAGATGAAGCAGAAGCAAATTCATGTGCTTGACTTGCATTAACTCAGTATAAAGATTGTAAGCAGGTGTGGTGGCGCACGCCTGGAATTCCAGCACTCTGGGAAGCTGAGACAGGAAGATTGCAAGTTCTAGCCCCGCCTGAGCAATTTAGCACACCCTAATTCAAAAATAAAAGGAGACTGGGAAACCGTGCTTCAAAAAAAAAAAAAAAAAGGGGGGGGGGTGTGTGTGGGGTGGGACTAGGGATGGAGCTCAGTGTGAAGGTCCTACGTTCAATCCCCGGTACCGAAGGGGGGTAAAAAAAAGACT